CTCTTCCACCTCATTTGAGGTACGTTTATTTGGATGAATCATCCACGTTTCCAGTTATCATTTCTAACTCTTTGAGTGAGATAGAAGTAGAAAAGTTACTTAGAGTCTTACGAGAACACAAGGAAGCCATTGGGTGGATGATTGCTGATATTCGAAGAATCGGTCCGTCATTTTGTATGCACAAAATACTAATGGTGAATGACTTTAAGCCATCAACCGAGCATCAAAGGAGACTGAATTCGATTATGAAAGAAGTGGTGAGAGCTGAAGTCGTTAAATGGCTTGATGCATGTATTATCTATCCAATTTCTGATAGTCCATGGGTAAGTCCTGTACAAGTTGTGCCAAAGAAAGAAGGCATTACTGTGGTGGAAAATGAGGAGAATGAACTGATACCTACTAGACCTGTGACTGGTTGGAGAGTGTGTATTGATTACCGCAAGCTTAACACTGCGACTAGAAATGATCACTTCCCTCTTCATTTTATAAATCAAATGCTTGAGGGGTTGGCGGGGTATTCGCATTATTGTTTTCTTGATGGTTATTCAGGCTTCAATCAAATTCTAATAGCCCTCGAAGATCAAGAGAAAACTACTTTTACATGCCCATACTGTACATTTGCGTATAGGAGAATGCCCTTTGGCCTTTGCAATGCACCTGGGACTTTTCAACGCTGTATGATGGCAATTTTCTCCGACATGGTGGAGAAATGTATTGAGATCTTCGTGGATGATCTCTCAATATTTGGGCCTTCATTTGATGGATGCCTGAATAATTTGGAGAAGGTGCTTCAACATTGTGAAGATACTAATTTAGTATTAAATTGGGAGAAATCATCCATGAATATCTCAATACATTTTTCCACCATGCGGAGAAAATCGCCATCATACAGCGTTGAAAAGTCGTGGGTGCAATGTACCGTATGGGCATGTAAAAGTAGTTTTCTCTTGATCTTCAAGGGCTATTGGAATTTGATTGTAGCCTGAATACCCATCAAGAAAATAATAATGCTAATACCCCGCCAACCGCTCAAGCATTTGATCTATGAAAGGAAGAGGGAAGTGATCATTTCTAGTCGCAGTGTTAAGCTTGCGGTAATCAATACACACTCTCCAACCAGCCACAGGTCTAGTAGGTATCAGTTCATTTTTCTCATTTTCGACCATAGTGATGGCTTCTTTCTTTGGCACAACTTGTACAGGACTTACCCATGGACTATCAGAAATTGGATAGATAATACCTGCATCAAGCCATTTAACGACTTCAGCTCTCACCACTTCTTTCATATTCGGATTTAGTCGCATTTGATGCTTGACTGATGACTTAAAGTCATTCTTCATTAATATTTTGTGCATACAAACTGACGGGCTGATTCTTTGACTATCAGCAATCGTCCACCCAATGGCTTCCTTGTGTTCCCGT